CCCCTTCGCCGCGAGGCCCCACCGCCCCCGTAAGGACCTTCCCCTATAGACACGTAATTTTTGACCTAACTTAAAGTTGTACACCATTTTTATTGGTTAAAAAGTTCCTTTATTTTTAAATTAGATATTTTAATTTTTATCTTATTTTGTTAAGTTTATTTTAAAATATTTGAAAAAAAAAATGAATTTAGGCTAAGTTTTATTTTGCAATATAATAAAAAATGACAAAAAATAATATATATTTTCTTTTAACTTAGGTTTAATAAATAATCTTGTATTTTTAATTATAATTTTAGATTAATTTTTGTTGACTCATATTTTTATTATTAATATTTTTTTACATATATTTAATTAAAGAAAAATAAATAAAATTAGCCTCCCACTTACTCTCACCCATAACCCCATATCATCCCACAACCTCACCATCACTCCCTCACATCTTCCCACTACCCCAACTCCACCCTCACCTATACATACTACAATCAGCAATACCAAAAGAAATAATACACACACACAAAAAGACGACACACAGGTAGGAGAAAGGAAAAAAGCAAAAAACAACACACCATACGAAAGAAAACCAAACAAAAAACAATCAGCAACATACAAAAATTTCTGCACGAAAAGAAGGAAAAAATCCATTTTTAGTTTTATTCTTCTTGCAAAAAATAACCAATACATTCACATATTTTCTTCCTTTTTTATTACTACTTTATTTAAACACAACACAATATATCATCACAAACAACTTACAAAAAATTTATCATTTAGGGAGTTTTCTTGAAGGCGCAAAAACTTTACACAAGTGAGATTAGAAATAGATTAAGGAATAGGCCCTCTAAGGTTGCATTTTTCAAGAATCAAATAACGCACCAAAGTTACATAGCCAATAGACTCAGGCAAATTATCAGAAAAGTTCACATAACTGAGATCTAATTCTATGACAGATGCACTACTGTTCCATTTGGTCTTTGGAAAATAACCACTGAGATAATTGAAACTTGAGTAAAGTTTTTCCAGGTTGCGAAACAAAATTATGGATGGAGAATCATCAAAGACTAGGTAGCCAGGAAAAAACAGCACAGCCTTGCAAAAAGGGAGAGAAACTCAAGAAAGTTGCAATCACAAATAACAACAAAAATCCCCCCCCCCCCAAAAAAAAAACAATCAATTCACTAATAAGACAATAGATTAAAATTACTCACCCTGCTTCCTCGTTCAAGGGACTCATCTTCAATGAAACAAATCTCAGGAGTTAGTCGCAACTTCATTCGCCTCCCTAGCTCACTCATATATTTTGCTTTTGACTTCAAGCCCGTCAAAGCCACTTCCTTTCCTCTTTCGGCTCCAAATACGGAGACATAGACCTTCACAACCTACAGCAGCACAAAATTTTCCTGAGAGTCCAAATGGGGAATATGCAGATCACAGGAATCATCCTTGAAGATTAAAGAAGTTATCATTTATAAAAATGAGAGAAATTATTTTCTTTGTTGTCTAGGAATACAAGTACTTCATGCACAAGTAAGAAGCCTATAACTTCTATATCATATGAAATATACGGTTGTGATTGTCTTTGTTAATTTGATGATTTAATCTGGGAGTTATGAGTTGTTAGAGAAAGTAGAACTCCTAGATATTTTGCTAGGAAACTCATCCCTATTATGTATGTTGTTACCTTGTGCCATCTATCTCCCTTTTTTGGTTGTCATATTTGGTGATGAATTGTAATCTGCAGTGCTGTCAAAACTCATAAGTAACTTTATATGCTTTCTGAGGAGGATATTATCACAACTAGGACCTTTATTTGCACATCAATGTGGTCACCATGAGTTTTGACTTTTCAGTATCGCTGCCACTACAAATGGCAGAAATTGTATGATGAGACTGGTTAAGAGTTGGCAATGAGGCTTATTTCTATTTCGTACTTTCTTTTCCTAAGTTCACTGTTATTTGGTTCAGCTGCAACTTCTTTTGTCCGGCATTAGGAAATTAGGATCAACTCTGGTTTGCAGTTATTATGTCTGATAGTGTTAGGTTGTAATTAGTGTGATCCAACAGTTCTAAGTGCATACTATGATCAACAAAATGAAGGATTAGCTTGAGAGGTCTGGTAGTTGTACTAATGAAGGATTCTCTGTTACCAATTCTGAAATTAGTGAGCTCATCTGTATGAATATTGTTCATTTTTCTCTGATGATGAGATATATTAGCAACAAAATGAACTATACAGAATCTTCCAACAGAGTAAGAACGCTTAAAGCTGTGTGACATTTCTTCAGGCCTTTCAATGGGTTTTGTCTAAGACAAAAACCTATATGGCCTCTGATGTGCAGACTCAGATATATAAATTCCTTAATGGTGGTATATACATTCAAGATGTTTTTTAGTTTTCCGTAGCCTCGTAATTGCTAGTGAGTCCTGCAGTTTATGGGGTCCATCATATTACTTGACCTTTTTTTTAAAATCCATTTTGCACTTGGCTTCCTGATGGAATCTCTAATGTGCTTCTGTGGACCAATATAAGCTAGGGTGTAAAAAAAACTGAGAATAATGTTATTCTAAAGTTGTGTTAGTGTTGATACATAACGTTTCAGAGAGGCATAAAAGGTCACTTTGGGCAAGTAGGTTAAGTTACAATTGCTTTCTATTGGTAGGATGGGTTAAATGGGATCGGAGGATGATAGACAGTCGTCTTCAGTGTTTTCATGAAGCATGTTCCCGATGCTTGCTTGGATTGTAGCATATAAGCATTATAGTTAGTATATTCTTTAACAGATAATCTTTATCTTGAATTTGAAGGTGAATGTTGAATTTTGTATACTCAATAGCTTTACAATTAGTATATTCAGAGCATTAACTTAACCTTGACGGCGAAGCAAAGGCTAACAGTAGTACGTTTCCATGACCAAGTTTTAGTTAATCATTTATCTACTTTGTTGAAGTTTGCTTTTAGTTACTGCAGTAGTTTTTAGCAAAATAAGTTAATTAGTTTAAGATGAATTTGAATTTTGAATTTCAGTTAGGTTGTTTGAATTGTTGAGATATTTTAGGTTGTTTTAAATTTCAAATTATGCAGATTATATTTTTATGTTGGCTATTTAAAGCCCCTCAATACTTAATAAAATAATTGAAAGCTATTGAAAGTCATTTCAATCCATTGAGAGACATTTTCAATTTGTGCTGCCCCATTTTTAAAAAACACCATCAGTGGTATCAAGAGCTTCATTGATCTTAAGGGATCTGTGAAATCTTCCAAAGAACTACCATACATTTATAACCCGTAAGGGCTACCTTTTTAACCCATCAGAGTTACCCATTTTAACCCATCACGGCTGCCTTTTCAACCGGTGCTTTTTTCAACGCACAGGCTTTTCTAAATCATTTTTTAACCAAATAATGGCAAGCAACAGTCTCTTTTTGAATGCCCCAAAATTTTCACCGGTGAAAACTATCAGATTTGGTCAGTGAAAATGAAATCATATCTTGAAACCTATGATCTGTGGGAAGTTGTAATGGAAGATGTACCCTTACAACCTTACCCTGCAAATCCTACCCTTGCTCAAATTAAATCTCATTCGGATGAAAAAATCAAAAAATTCAAAGCCAAATCTGTAATTCAAAATTTAGTTGCGGATTCGATTTTTTCTAAAATCATTGCTTGTGAGACGGCAAAAGAAGCTTGGGAAAAATTAAAAAAAGAATATCAAGGAAGTGACCGAGTCAGGCAAATGCAAATTTTAAATTTGAAAAGAGATTTTGAATCTCTTAAGATGCAAGAGGATGAAACTATTGTTAAGTATTCTGACAAGATTTCTTTTATTGTTAATAAATCAGGTTGCTTGGCGAGGATTTCAAAGATGACAGAATAGTAGAAAAAATTCTTGTGACAATTCCAGAGAGATTCGAATCTAAAATTTCATCTCTGGAAGAGTCTAAAAATCTCTCTACTATTTATGTTGAAGAACTAATAAGTGTTCTTCAAGCACAAGAGCAGAGAAGAGCCTTCAGGCAAGATAATGTTACTGAGGGTGCCTTTTTATGCACAAAACAGAAAAGAAAAAGGTAATTATCCTCTTTGCAAATACTGCAAAAGAAAAACACACTTGAAAATTTTTTGTTGGTGGAGACCTGATGCAATATGTGGAAATTGCAAACAAGCTGGTCATGTTACAAAGTATGCAAGCTGAAGAACAATCTTCAAGCACAAGTTGTAGAAGCAGAAATCGAGGAGGAGCAACTTTTTTTAAATTGCAGTATCTAAAGCAAAGGAGGAGTGTTGAAGTTTGCTTTTAGTTACTGCAGTAGTTTTTAGCAAAATAAGTCAATTAGTTTAAGATGATAAATTTTGAATTTTAGTTAGGTTGTTTGAATTGTTGAGATATTTTAGGTTGTTTTAAATTTCAAATTATGCAGATTATATTTTTATGTTGGCAATTTAAAGCCCCTCAATACTTAATAAAATAATTGAAAGCTATTGAAAGTCATTTCAATCCATTGAGAGACATTTTCAATCTTTTTGTGCTGCCCCATTTTTAAAAAGCACCAACATACTTCAACTTGTTAACAAACACAAATAGAAGTACAAAGTAAGATGAGCTCCTCAGGTTTGAGAACAAATGTTTTGATCTAGGAGATGCGCACTAGAGATTCCTACAAATTTGTTGAATGGTATTCAGATTCTCTTTTTCTGATGAATGCTCTGGTTCTTTTAGATAATCCATGCAGAAAGTGGATTACTTTAGTTCATCAAGTTTATCTTCAGGGAAAAGTGGGTGAGGGGGCAGGCTCCCGCTATTGATCCTTAAAGTACAATCACATTCTGTGGTGACAACTTGAAAAATCATGAATTTTAGAGTGAGAACCAGAACAACTATTCACACCTCAATTCTAAACTAGTTGGGGACGGTTATATGAATCCTCACTATCCATGTCACTCCATTTAGATCTGTCTCAGTCAAATATTTACTAATTTAGGTTTTGAAGTTCTCTGTATCTTGCATTTGCATGCAAATCTCAAACTCCTAGCTGAACATTGGACCTAAAGTAAATTTCAATTCTTTGGCCAAATAAATACAGAAGGATAGATACACAGAGAAATTAGAAATAGATTAAGGAATAGGCCCTCTAAGGTTGCATTTCAAGAGTCAAATAACGCAACAAAGTTAGATAGCCAATATAGACTCAGGCAAATTATCAAAAAAGTTCACATAACTGAGATCTAACTCAATGAGAGATGCACTGCTGTTCCATTTGGTCTTTGGAAAATAACCACTGAGATAATTGAAACTTAGGTAAAGTGTTTCCAGGTTGTGAAACAAAATTATGGAAGGAGAATCATAAAAGACTTAGTAGCCAGAAAAAACAGCACAGCCTTGCAAAAAGGGAGAGAAACTCAAGAAAGTTACATAAAAAATAACAACAAAATTCCCCCCACCCCACCCCCCAAAAAAAACAAATCAATTCACTAATAAGACAATAGATTAAAATTACTCACCCTGCATCCTCGGACTCATCGTCAATGAAACGAATATCAGGAGTCAGTCGTACTCACAGATTTTGCTTTTGACTTCAAGTCCGTCAAAGCCGCTTCCTTTGCTCTTTCGTCTCCAAATACCTCTACATAGACCTTTACAACCTACAGCAACACAGAATTTTCCTGAGAGTCCAAATGGTGAATATGACAGATCACAGGAATCATCCTTGAAGATCAAAGAAGTTATCATTTATAGAAATGAGAGAAATTCTTTTCTTTGTTGTCCAGTCCTATTTCAATTTTTTGGCCAAATAAATACAGAAGGAAATCTTTATAATTTATATATACATCTAGATATCTACAAAGAGAGAGAGAACCTGCACATGCACACATAAACAACCCATATGCAGTAGTAAGATTGTGACAGGTAGATAATAACAGCGAATATGAAGTTTATATCTTGTTTCTGATTGCCAACAGCAGACATCACTTTACATAGTCACACACATTAGAGGAACATATGACAACTTTATCCTGAGAAAGATAAACTTTGAGATTGGGATCTTCTTGTCAGTTGCTAGTGAATAAGGATAGGGGTTTGATCACTTCCTTGGCAAATAATACCCTCAAACTCAAACCAAGTAAATTCTACCCTAGGGGGAAAGTAACCATGGCCTTGTCCTGCTAATAAATTACATAAGTATCTTATTCAATGTATGATGTTTCTTGTTTCTTTACACTCACACCTACTTTTTAAGCCATAAAACCATTTGTACCCTACCATTATCACTAAAACTAAACAGTACATTTTAAATTTTCTTTCAACCCAGATTACAAAGCATTAAGGAACTAAATTAACAACTAAGCAGGACATATGCATCACTTTTTGTACCCTACTCCATTGTAGAAAAAAAAGGTGCAAGCTCTTAGGAAAGGGTTTTAAAAAAAAATCCAGGTTACAAAGCAGTACATATACTTCATTGTCACTCACAATATAAATTTTGCCTTAAAAATTCAAACTCACACTGGGAAAAAGAAAAAGATAAATTTTTTTCTTTCAATCCAGATCACAAAAGGGGTTGGTCGGATGATAACCACCCTCGGCTTCCAACCCTAAGGTTGTTTGGTTCGAAACTTCCAATTACCAAGAAAACAAAAAAAAGATGAAGCTAAAAAAAAATCCCAGATCACAAAGCGAGTAAAGAAACAAGAAATTGACAACTAATTCGAACATGGGTTTATACGCTTACCCCCATTGTTACTGACCATTCAAAATAAACAAGCTCACACAGTCAATTTATCTGTAGATTTCTCTTGTCGATTCTTTCATACTCCATTTATGTTCATTGAATTGAAGGGTCCTGCTCTTTCTTCTCCCCTTAACGTGTGATTTTAGGCCTGTGGGTGTGACAATTTCAGTGAGAAAAGACTGAAATTGGATTGTTGGCTGATGAATCTTGTCGATATCCGAAAAGAAAACTCTAGTCCCTGCACTCTCTTTTCATTGTAAAAGAGAAATCCGCCATGGAAGAAAACAGAGAATTCAACAATGGAGGTTTTCTCTCACTTGCTATAACGGCTATGATTTTGGAGCGTCTGTCAAATTAACTTCTTCCCTTGATTTTGATGTTTTTTTTTAAAAAATAATGAAAGAATTTCATCTAATTGTATTGTGCTACTGCAACACTATATTATTACAAACATTATAGTAGAAGACATTATAATACTAAAACTAGTACTCTTTCCGGATATATTTTTATGTCACCATTTTAGACGTCACATTTCTTAAAAAATTATATATTTATTTTTAAAAAATCAAAGGAATGGTTACAAAAAAAATCAAAATGAGGGAGATAGATATAATATCGTAAACCAAAAGGGAGATGGTGTTACAGAGCAAAATTTGGAGAGAGGTTTTTGAATTTATCCCTAATCTTTTTTATCTCTTTGTCATTTAAAAATTTTAAGAATGAATCTTTGATAATTCGCTAGATCATTAATACAAATTCGACAACACTTTTCGTCTCGTAACATATGGGAAGCTTAGTCAAGAAATCTTTTTTTCTCTTTCCTATCGAGACATAATATAACAATTAACTAACTAAAAAAGTGTATACTTAAAAATGGTCTTGTAACTGCGTGATTACATATGTCTTTCACATCATGTGGCCAATATTATTACTAAATAGGACGAGTAAATTTAAAATCAAATGAAAGAAAATTGTTTATCTTTTAATTTTTTTTGTAAATTAATAGAATTCAGAGGCCACAGCACACCGATAGGAAAAAGATCTTTATACACAATAATTTAAATGAAAATATACTTTTTAGTAGTCTTTTTGCCTATGTAGATTTATAATTTGAGAACTTCTCCTACTCTTGTGTTTTCACTAAAAAAAAACAAAAAACCTCTATATAGTGAGGGTTTATTTTCCAAAAAAAAGAAAACCCCTACTCTTGAAGCTTGTCTCTTGTCTGTCTAGTTGATAATGATGCATCATGAATCTGGAGATATAGATGATCAAATATAGAGTCAAGAGTCAAAAGGGTAATTTTTTTCTTCTAAAATACATAAAGGGCAACTGATATTTTATTTAGGGAAAAAGGACAAATATACCCCCGAACTTCTGAAAATGGTATGTCAATACCCCCGTTATACTTTTCGTCCATCGAGCCCCTATCGTCCAATAATCAGTGCACATTTACCCCTCCCACTAAAGAAACACTCATTGTGTACACGTGGCGCAATCCTATGCCACAACCCGAGTTGACCAATATTTTTACCCAAATTTTAAAAACCCGCCCATAACCCAATTTACCCACAAATAAACTCTCTAAAATCCTAGAGAAAAATCCTAAAGTTTATTTATTTATGTTAAACTTTACACACGTTTTAAAAAATATGATTGTAATAAGAATTTTATTGTAATACTTGTTATAAAATATTATAGTGTGAATGTCCACTACACCAAGAAGTTACTCTCACCCATTATCTTCATTACTTTCTTCCATTATGAAGATAACCATAACCTCCATAACCTCCAACTTTATAACCATTATTCGTGTAACCTTCTTTCATAACCTCCTCCATTATATTCATGTTAGTGTCATGTTTATGACTAATCTTTTGTATGCCTCTATGTTACACTATAGATAGAGGCATAAGGGTTCATATTGTATACACTTGAAGACTTGAAATAATAAGAAAGCTCTCATCTCTTGTATCCCTATTTCTATTGCTTTCATCTTCTATATTTCTTGTCTTATTTTGCTTTAGTTTTACAACATGTTATCAGCACGAGTTGCTCATTCTCCGCCAAGAATCAATGGTAGGTATTTCTTTATTTTTATGATTATCCTAGCAATTCTTCGATTGCAAGGTATACTTCATATCCTATATATTATTTGTACTAACAAAGCTTATTGTGTGGTTATTTTAAAATGGTTAGTAAATTACGATATTCTTCATAACAATATTGAGAGAGACTATTAAAATGTTTTAATTTATTTTAACGTGGGACTTTTATATGGTTCCAACATGTTGTTCTAATTAATTAGTTTTGTTCATTTTTATTCAATTGTAAGTTAAATTCAGATTATATTTATGGTATTCAATATTTATTTTTTGGTAATGTTATTTGGTTTATTAAGACATTAATTGAGGGTAAGACGGTGAATTCAAGTTTCACCCCAAGTGGGTAAGACATCGAGTTAAGGTCTCGGTACACCATGATAATAAGAAGTTGGGTTCAAGTCCCATTGATTTATGACCAAATGCTTCTTCATATGGGTAATACATTGGGTTTAAGTCCTAATGCACTATGGTGATGATATGATGATGACTAACATAAAGTTGTATACTTTTGACTGAAAGTCATGAAATTTGCCCAATTAATTTGCTCCATTTTTATGTGAATGTGGTAACAGTACATAATATGTTTGAAAAATGACAAGTGGTTGAATGTATGAATATGAGTGTGGTAAAATGTTAATGATCATCATTGTTGTAATTAAAAGGAAGAACATTATGGGTTCTTAAGATGGTCCTTCAAATGTGAAGGTAATTTAGTCCATCAAAGTGGTATGAAAGGTTATTGGGCACATTGTTTCTTAAGATGGTCCTTTAAATGTGAAGGTATTTTTATCCATCAAAGTGGTATGAAAAGATATTGGGCACATTGTTGTTGATGCAACCCAATTTGAAAAGTTTTGTAAATCATCCATCAAAATAAAGGAATACAAAGTGGTGGTACAGTTGGTACATTTGTCCTCTTAAAGTGATGTTGAGGTGAGTCACATAAATTTGATAAATGCAAAAGCATGACAATGAGTTTTCTAATAAAAACTTATGGAGCATGTTCAAATGGTTATGGTCCATTTCTTAAAAAAAATGTGCCTTGTGTTCTTATGGATAAGAACATGTTCATCTATTGTTGGATAAATGTCACGACCCAGGTACCCCCTAGACGTAACATCACGTAGTTGACCCCAAAGGGGTCGCATACAAGCCCTTAGCATATTCATAACATAGGATAATAGAAAATTCAGGGAAATTAAAAACATTCTTTAAAACATAATATCAAAAACATTTCATAAAAGCGGAAGTCTTTCTAAAATCTTTGTCTCAAACCATCTATGAATAACATGAAATAAAGTCTTGGGACGCAGCCTATAAAAAGTCTAAAACATAAGAAAAGTAATAGGTTCGTCCTCGAAACTATGAGGACTCACAAAATCTTCAATATTCTTGGCTCCTTAGAAAACCTATCTCCCAAGTAGCACTTAAGTCTCCAAACCCTACATTTGATTAGAATGTAGGCAATATGCGTTAGTACAAAATGTAACAAGTATGAAAGCTAACATACCAACATAAAACATCTCGAATGGTTAGTCAACATAAGACATAGTCATAAGAGATAATAACATAAACTCCAATAAGATAACATAACATCATAAGTCAACATAATGCAAGATATATGAACATAAGAGCTAAATCATACTTAAAGCATTCCTTACTTAACCTTCATTATTACAATAAGCCAAATGTATCATATAAGCATTATTGACTCTTATTCACCTATACCATAATAGTACCATTCTCAAGTAACCTCAAAAGCATACAAGTGCAAAACAAGAATAGCATCCCATAATACTACCCAAGCCATGTAACCCTTCTTAGTCATCTTTATAAAATTCTATATACATGGTTTAATTCTCTAGGCTTCTCTACCATAAGGGAACCATACTTCTAAGAAACCTCAGAGCACACTTGTGCAATGCATGAAAAGCATCCCATAATACCCTTCACACTAAGCATAACTTTGAAGCCATCCTAGTCATATTCACCCTACTTTG